ACCGTGGGGAGAATTGAGGATTTAATTCACACATAAATGACTTGAATTGTATGTCTAGCAGTTTGAACAGTAAAAGAGTGACACAGCCTTAGTGGGCAATGTTGATTGACACACAACTGCAAATGCAAGCCGTAAAGCGAAAATTTCATTTTTCGTAAACAACGTATTTGAAGTTGATTCTCTTGGTCCAAAGTTGAGTTGAAATATAAGGAGGTGTGGATAAGCCACCCACGCTCTCTGAAGGGGATATAGTGAGAGGTAATAATATGAGAGGGTAAAGAGAGGGAATTCCCCAAAGTAAGCCGTAGGGGATTCACTGAAATGATCCTACCTCGTCATACCCTTCATGTCAGTTTGGACGAATGTCCATGAATAAAAACTGTTCGAGATGAGTCGTAGAAGAAGAAGAGTCGAGTTGGAGCAGAAAAGAGAAGAGAAACCTCCGACTTCAGCCTTGTGCCAAACTTTACCAACAACAGGAAACCAGATTTTTGACAGGTTGACGATAGTGGTACCGATTTAGATGCGGGCTGCGTTGATAATTAATTGCATGCAAACTCGAGGGCAATGTTGATTGACACACAGCTGCAAATGCAAGCTGTAAAGCGAAAATAAAAAAAACAATTTTTGTACTAAGGACTGTTATAAAAAAACAGTATTTGCTTTTTGTTCAGCTTATTCGAGTGTTATTTTTCCTTTATGTCATCGCCCTGCTTGGACCAGCTGAACACGAAGATGCCTGCGACAATTCGGTGCTGGCCTCCTTTTGATCAAACTTAAATCACAACGTGGGATAAGGCAGGTTACAATTTTTGGATACATTATGTAACTAATGAGTTAGCCCGAATGACTTGACTCACTTTATAGTCCACCAATAGAAGGTTAACCAATCAGAAGACGTAGAATATTCAATCCGTCGTGTATAAAGGCGGCCATTTTTGTCTACTCTACCCGAATGTCCAGTCCAGCTTGTCAGGCGAAGAAAAACGGAAGGAAGAACTACGCTCTGCTACCTTTTACCAAAATATCCACTGCTAACCTGAACAACGCTTTCCTACTGTCTTCTAAATCTTCACTGCTAACCTCTGGATTCTATACTCGAAGACGACCGTCATCATGAACAACACTGAGATCGAAGCGATCTTCATCGATCAGCCGCGGTTTTGGAAGCCTTGGACGACCGGCTAGGATGTTGCACGATTACAAAGTGATCCGATCTTGGAGGGGACAACGACCATGGCATGTGGATAATGGTAATGTGAGATAGCCGTTTCCATACAGGCAACATCGGTATTTATTGGCCGAAACTTTGGCATTAACATCAGTTAAAAACTTATAAAAACTTTCTCTTAAAACATAACACCAATAATTGTTATTACCCTTTCTTGTTTGGCGTTTCATTCCTAACCGTTTATTTAAGTTATCGTGGAAGTCAACGTTATGATGACGTCACGATTTCCTCTTAGACTTACGTGTGATACATGTTTCATTTGTTGCTGTTGATGAGAGTCTTCAAGTGAGGCGTTATTTGGTAAAGTTCTTAGTGATTCTGTAGCGCCAGACTGATGAAGTGAGGGATTGTCTTCTTTAAGTCTTTGCCTGTCCTGTGCATCGTATGTGATTCTCAGGTCATGTAATCTGCGCGTGCGTGCATCTAATGTGGTGCACACAAGCCATGATTTTAAAGACCGCTTAAGAAAAGCGTCTACTATTAAGCAGGACATCTGTAGAAAGACGTAATCTAATAATCCATGCATCATGGATGCTTGACTAATAATGTAAGGTCCCTAAATGAACGACATCTATTTTCTTTATTGAAATGAAACCTTTCGCTAGGAAAAAGAAATGTTTTAATCCCCTAAAATCATCTTCACTTTCATCAGGGGATGAGATATCATCAAAGCTTAGATCACTATCAGAATAAGCATATTAAATGTAGAATGTAAATGCACTGCTAATAATTATACTATAGAAATGCATTGTAAATCAGTCAGAACGTTATGGACAATGGACAGGCAAAGGGTTAAATGCCCTGGGCAGACAAAGGGTTAAATGACTTAGACAGGCAAAGGGTTAAATACCTTGGACAGGCAAAGGGCTAAATGTCCTGGACAGGCAAAGGGCTAAATAACTTGAACAGGCAAACGGTTAAATGTCCTCGACAGGCAAAGGGTTAAATGACTTATACAGGTAAAGGGTTAGATGACCCGGACAAGCAAAGAGTTTAATGCCATGAACAGGCAAAGGTTAAATATCTTGGATAGGCAAAGGGTTAAAATACCTTAGATAGGCAAAGTGTTACATGCCCTGGACAGGCAAACAAAGGGTTAAATGCCATGGGCAACCAAAGAATTAAATGCCCTGGACAAGTAAAGCGTTAAATACCCTGGTAAGGCAAAGAGTAAAATGCCTTAGACAGGCAAAGCGTTAAATACCTTGGACAAGCAAAGGTTTAAATGTCCTGGTCAGGCAATAGGTTAAGTGACCTGGGCAGGCAAATGGTTTTAATGTCTTAGACAGGAAAATTGTTAAATGCCCTGGACAGACAAAGGGTTAATTATCCTGGACAAGCAAAGGGTTAAATGCCCTGGGCAGGGAAAGGATTAAATGACTTAGACAGGCAAAGGGTTAGATGACCTGGACAGAAAAAGGGTTAAATGCCATGGACAGGCAAAGGGTTAAATGCCCTGGGCAACCAAAGAATTAAATGCCCTGGACAAGTAAAGCGTTAAATACCCTGGTAAGGCAAAGAGTAAAATAACTTGGACAAGCAAATGTTTAAATGTCCTGGTGAGGCAATGGGTTAAGTGCCCTGGGCAGACAAAGGGTTAAATGACTTAGACAGGCAAAGGGTTAAATGTCCTGGGCAGACAAAGGGTTAAATTACTTAGACAGGAAAAGGGTTAAATGCCCTGGGCCGGGAACGGATTAAATGACTTAGACAGGCAAAGGGTTAAATACCTTGGCCAGGCAAAGGGCTAAATGTCCTGGACAGGCAAAGGGCTAAATAACTTGAACAGGCAAACGGTTAAATGTCCTCGACAAGCAAAGGGTTAAATGACTTATACAGGTAAAGGGTTAGATGACCCGGACAGGCAAAGAGTTTAATGCCATGAACAGGCAAATGTTAAATATCTTGGATAGGCAAAGGGTTAAAATGCCTTAGATAGGCAAAGTGTTACATGCCCTGGACAGGCAAACAAAGGGTTAAATGCCATGGGCAACCAAAGAATTAAATGCCCTGGACAAGTAAAGCGTTAAATACCCTGGTAAGGCAAAGAATAAAATGCCTTAGACAGGCAAAGCGTTAAATACCTTGGACAAGCAAAGGTTTAAATGTCCTGGTCAGGCAATGGGTTAAGTGTCCTGGGCAGGCAAATGGTTTTAATGTCTTAGACAGGAAAATTGTTAAATGCCCTGGACAGACAAAGGGTTAATTATCCTGGACAAGCAAAGGGTTAAATGCCCTGGGCAGGGAAAGGATTAAATGACTTAGACAGGCAAAGGGTTAGATGACCTGGACAGACAAAGGGTTAAATGCCCTGGACAGGCAAAGGGTTAAATGCCCTGGGCAACCAAAGAATTAAATGCCCTGGACAAGTAAAGCGTTAAATACCCTGGTAAGGCAAAGAGTAAAATACCTTGGACAAGCAAAGGTTTAAATGTCCTGGTCAGGAAATGGGTTAAGTGCCCTGGGCAGGCAAATGGTTTTAATGTCTTAGACAGGAAAATTGTTAAATGCCCTGGACAGACAAAGGGTTAATTATCCTGGACAAGCAAAGGGTTAAATGCCCTGGGAAGGGAAATGATTAAATGACTTAGACAGGCAAAGGGTTAGATGACCTGGACAGACAAAGGGTTAAATGCCCTGGACAGGCAAAGGGTTAAATGCCCTCGACAGGCAAAGGGTTAAATGACTTACACAGGCAAAGGGTTTAATGCCCTGGGCAGGAAAAGGATTAAATGCCCTCGACAGGCAAATGGTTAAATGACTTAGACAGGCAAAGGGTTAGATGACCTGGACAAGCAAAAGGTTAAATGCCCTGGGCAGGCAAAGGATTAAATGCCCTCGACAGGCAAAGGGTTAGATGACCTGGACAGGCCAAAGCTTAATACTTACAGGGTTGATTTGCTTGAAGTTTTTTAATAATTGATGTTTTTGTTTGTATCTTTGTGTGTGTCTCTCTTTGGATCACCCTCTCTCTGACCGTCTCTTTGCATAAAACTCACTCTCTCTTTTTGTTTACCCCTCTCTCCATCTGTTTATTTGTATTGTATTCTCCCTCTCGCTCTGTTTGTCTGTGTGCATCTTTGGTTTTATCACCCTCAGCATTTCTTTGTTTCCTCTCTCTCTCGTTTTTTACCTTCTTCTTAATGTCTCCCTCTCTCTCTCTTTTTCTCTGTTTCCTTGCTTCTCCTTATCTCTGACTACTCGCATCTTCTTCTCTGACTCTCTCGCCCTCTCTCTATATGGTTCCTTGTGCCTCCGACCTCCTCTATCTCTCTCTCTTTGTTTGTTTCTTTATATCTCTCTTTCTCTCTCTCTCTCTCTCTCTTTCTCTAACTGCCTCTTTGAATAAAAAAAAAAACGCTCTCTCTCTTTTTGGCGTCACAGATTTGTTTCTTTTTTATTCTCCCTCTCACTCTGTCTGGCTCTATGCATCTTCCCCCTTTCTCTCTCTGTTTTTAACATGGCGTTCTATACTCCAGGCCAAGTCATGACGCAACTGAGAGCCAGAACTGGAGGCCTATTGAAAAATGTAGGATTTTCAGAAATTTTAGAAGAAAATGAAGTCAACCACTTTATGAAATACTTAGAATAACATTTTTATTCACACCTGAGGATAATAGGATGTGTTGAAAGATAAATAAATGAAAATATGTATTTTTGCTATGAACACTGATAATTATTAAACAACACAAAGCGGTAATTATGATTTCTGGTAAAAGGTATATTGAATCAGAAATTTATATTATTTACAGGTGTCACTGAATCCTTTATGCAATCTATTCCCTGTGAGTGAATAAAGACTTTGGTTTAAATTTACATTACAGTTACTGGGTTTGACAAACAGAACCCAAGATGGCTGGAAGACATCAGCCGAAGTGTATATATAACAATCAATCATCGCAGAAATATAGACAAATAAAACAAAATCACCCGCACCTTCTCTTTATTTTTCTCCATCTGTTTTTCTTCTGTCTGTCTCTGTGCATTTCCTTTTCTCTGTCTTTTCGGATCTCTCTCGCTCCTTCTCTTTTTGTTTCCTAGTACTTCTCACTTTCTCCTCTCCTTCTTTTTGTTTGTTTATATCTCTCTTTTTGTGTTACCCTCTCTCTCTCTCTCTGACTGCCTCTTTGCATAAAATCTCTCTATCTTTTTTTTTTGCGTCTGTTCTGTTTCTTTGTATTGTATTCTTCCTCTCGCTCTGTTTGTCTCTATACTTCTCCCTCTCTCTTTCTGTCTATGTGTTTTCATCACCACCCACTCTCTTTGTTTCTCCCTGTCTATCTATCTCTTTTTACCTTCTCCTTCTGACTTACTCCCTGTATCTTTGTCTGTATTTTTGAATCTCCCACCCCCTCTCTCTCTCTCTATCTCTCTCTCTCTTTGACCCAGCTTGTAATTATTCACTGTTTACCCAAAGCAAATAGAAATAAAAGAATGGCGAAAAAAAAATGACCCGGATGTGTTGGTATGTTTAGAAAAAAACAAAAAAACAAAAACAAAACAAACAAACAAAAAAAACCTAAACGCCTTTGTTTCTTTTATTTGATCTTTTATTTTTTGTTTATTAATCAAATTATTTCAAAGAAATTATTTTGGTGAAATATCGTCTAAATCGTTACATAGAAAACCTTTCGTCTGACTCCAAACAAATCTTTAGAGTTTGTGGATTACGCCCCCCTCCCTTGTCTTCACCATAAACGCCTGTTGGGATCTGCTCTTTATAAATAAAAGCAAACATATTTTCTCTCATTCTTTTTTCTATTCTTGCTTCCAGATGTAATCGAGCGTAGATAAAGAACGCTGCCGTCGAGGCGCGTTCGCTTCCTTGGTCCTCTGACAACCGAACTCTAGCACACATACACACACATGTCTATCACACACACACGCTTATTTCACACACACACACAAACATTCTTATAGCTACTTCTCCTTTTATTACAACTGTTTACACATGGAGATACTTTTGTTAATACATGCATTAATTGTTGTTTGTTTTAAATTCTATATTTTGTTATTATTTATTTTTTACCCGGACTCACATGAGTCCACCAACATTGTTTGCGGGACAAATGTTCCAGGAGCCCATAAATATTTACTAAAAAAGTCTATAAATCATATAAAAAATGCTGAATCCCGTAATTTTCATCTCATATGTTTGTGTTTTGGCTGGACTATTTATATATGATTGACAATGGTGCATTATGTGTAGCAGGTCTTTTGTGCTACCCAAGCGGTGATTTTTGGTCGGTAACCGTGATCTTTTAAATGATTCTCGAGGCTATTTATTAGAAACAAGTGTGGATCCGAATACAGTTAATTATAGCTATTTTATAATGTCGTTTGTTAAATTTTTTTAATTATTTTTTTTTATTAATGACTACTGTATTATTTGTCCTTGACATTATTGCATTTATTTGTGGTTGTGTGTGCATTCGTAATTTGTTAATTTGATTATTATTTACTTCACACACACACACATATATATATATATATATATATATTGATAAAACAATAAAATCCCAGATCACCGCATGTGGAGAATAGCTTATTTTGACAGATGAAGTTTATTGTTTATATTACTAAGATCGACTTGGATTATATACCAACAGTTTTGTTACATTTATATATATATATATATATATATATATATATATATATATATATATATATATATATATAATAAAAAAAGGCTATATAATAAAATAAAAAGGCTTAAACACTAATATTCCATGGAATATTAGTGTTGAAGCCTTTTATTATATCCTTACTCTGTCCTGGACATTGAGTTCTACTTGGATTCTAGCCTCTTTTTTATATACAAATATAGATGTATGTGTATGTCTGTATATATATTTATATATTTTAGATATATGATTGCATATGTATGTGTATATTTACCACTAATATTATCTATATCTATATCTATATATATATGTATGTATATATATATATAGTTTTAAGGTATGCTATCTTTATGAGCTCAGTATCAGGGATAGTGCTTATGGAAATATAAAATTGGGCATTTAGATCAATCCCCAGCGGTGGCTATCTGTTTCACGCTTAAACGTAATTTTCAGATCATATGTTTTGTTATTATTTATTTTTTACCCGGACTCACATGAGTCCACCAATATTGTTTGCGGGACAAATGTTCCAGGAGCCCACTCATATTTAGCATAAGGAAGAGACAGTTGAAATTCATAGGGTACATAAGAAGAAAAGAGGCTTAGAGAATTTGAGACTCATAGGACATATAAGGGACGAAGGGAAGCAGCGCATAATCTACGCAACGAGCTTATGCAAATGGTTGGCAAAACAGGGATTAAGAGAGATAGCAAAAAGACAAATTTTACTAAAGGCTAAAAAGGATAGGAAGATGTGGAGAGTCATCATCATTACTCGTTATTTATTATTGATCACGGAAGTATGTACTGTTGGTTATTACTATTATGGTGACCTATCTACATTAAAATGAACTCTTCTTCCTTCATAAATACTAACTTGCGAGACTTCCTAAGTCAGGCAGTCGGGACGCAGTCTCTGACTGTGTGCGACTTCTGTCGAACTCTCTGCTTTGGCAGAGAGGAACCTGGACGAGACTTTTCCGAAAGGCAAAGTCTCGTCCGGGGAGGTAGACAGATCCCGAACCCGCTTATGCGGGTTCTAAGGGAATATTTTCGGCCAAAGCCTACGGGCTCGGAGAAAGCCACGTTAAACTCGGCCTTGTGCCACATACAATCCTCGTGGGGTGGACTGTTAAATATCGGCAGTCGGCCCACAATCTCTGGCTGTGTGCGATTTCTGTTGAACTCTCAGCTTTGGCAGAAAGGAAACCGGACGAAGCTTCGACCGGGGAGGTAGACAGGCCCTGAACCCGCTTATTCACGTTCTAAGGGAATATTTTGGGATGAGCCTACTGGCTCGGAGAACCCACGGTAAACTCGGCCTTTGCTATATACATCCCTCGTGGTGGGGGGGCTGTTAAATATTGGCAATCGGGACGTAGTGTTTTTCAAGGAATCACATTACAGAGAGATAGAAGAATTGATGACCATATTTTTCTCAGTGTTCTTAGTTGTCTGTAGCAATGTAAAAATGTAATACTTACTGGTACAGACAGAATTGTTCCTGTGAAAACAACTGACGTGCTCACGGCCATAACTGAATTTGTACACCAAGCTCTTAACAACAACGGCGAAGGTCGACCTGTGGCTCTAAACAGGGATTTGATAGGGTTTGGCATGTCAGCCTTCTTCGCAAGCTTCATGGATACGGTATTACAGGACGAGTGTTTGAATTAATCCAATCATTTCTGTCAAACCGTGAAATGAAGGTCGTCCTAAATGGATTCTCCTCCAGTTCCTTTGATACGAACACTGGTGTTCCTTAAGTCTCTATCCTGGGTCCTACACTGTTTCTGATCTTCATGAACGATCTTCCTGGTGTCATCAATTCCCAAGAAGGCATCTACGCAGACGACACTATTATTTACTCCTGTCTCAATAGTAAATCCGGCATTTGCTGACAAAACTAACCTGGCCGTTGGTCTCGAAAAGGGCCTGTAATCTGTGCAGGAAATGGCTTGTAAATTTTAATGCATCGAAAACGAAAGTTACCCACCACAGAGAACCCTTCCTCCCTCCTAGCAGAACAGCTGATGCCCAACTCCATGAGAGCGCCTCTCTGCGCCTGCTTGGTCTCACGCTTTCCGCTTACCTGAGGTGGGACAACTACATAGAATCAATAGCTTCATCTACCGCAAGGACAGTTGGTTCTCTGTGTTGCGCCAGAAGTTTTTTCTCGCTTGAAACCATCCTTCAAATCTACCATTCGTCATTGCATTGAATACTGTTGCCCTATATGGTCTGCTGCCCCTCCTGTTCATCCAGAGGTCCACGACAAAATCCAAAAACGGATATGCAATGTGATAGGTCTTGTTCTGGCATCTCGTCTACAGTCACTTTCTCACAGATGTGATGTGGTTTCCCTCTGTCTTTTCTACAAATATTTTCATGGCAACTGCTCTGGCGAGTACCCCTACTGCATGACTTTAAGCGTGCTACTTGTTTGGCTTCTCGGTCCCACCCTTTCACTGTCGAAACAGTTAAATGTAACCGCCTCTTCTACCCACCAACAGCTTCTTCTCTCGCACTTCCCGACAGTCGAACTCCCTTCCTCTTACTTGCTTCCCTGATAACTATAATCTTCAAATAATCAAATGTAATGTCAATCGACATATTCTGATATATTCTGATGCCTTGATTCTGATACTCCCACTTCCCGACAGTCGAACTCCCTTCCTCTTACTTGCTTCCCTGATAACTATAATCTTCAAATAATCAAATGTAATGTCAATCGACATATTCTGATGCCTTGATTCTGATACTCGTCTTTCTCTATATTCTTTCCTCAACCCCCCTCTTTACTCTTGCTCTCATTCTCTGTAACTCTTTACGTGCTAGTGGCACTCCCACCTTGCTTGGAGAGAAATGTTTTTTTTTTAAAAAAGAGTTAAGCTGAATGTTGTTTGGCATAATTAAAAACGTATGGTAAAAAAAATTAAAAGTTTTTAATCGGGAGTAAAGTACAATGAATACAATTAGCGAATGATTGATGAAAGGATATAGAAGGAAAAAAGTGGGGGGCGGGGTAATTAGATTCATTGTATTTTACGCTTTTAAGAATCACACTATAAAAACTTTGAAGAGCGGTAGCGAAACCGGTTATATATATATATATATATATATATATATATTAAGACATTTTTATGTTTATACATTCTTTTTATAGATACAAATATTTAAGTAAGTGCTCTCTTTATAATAAACAGTATTTAACAACATTTACCGGCCTGGAATGTTCATAGAAAATCTTCGTCCTCCGAAAGGATTCGAACCTGTATCCTATACAAAACCGTCATTTAGCTTAACGTGCAGTTACCGATTTGGCCACGAAGGAGCGTTCGGTTAGCAAGGTCGAATTTACTGTATTTAAACTTCAATCTTCCATGAATCTCTCACATACATTCATATCTGCTCATGGCGTATCAAATGTAAACAAATGACGTCACACATTATGAAATCGACAAAGACACTTTTATGTTTATACATTCTTTTTATAGATACAAATATTTAAGTAAATACTCCGTTTAAATACAGTAAATTCGACCTTGCTAAGCGAACGCTCCTTCGTGGCCAAATCGGTAAAGGCACGTCATGTTAAATGACGGTTCGATATAGGATACAGGTTCGAATCCTGTCGGAAGACGAAGATTTTCTGTGAAAATCTCTTGGACATTCAGGCCGGTAAATGTTGTTTAATAGAGTTTATTATAAACAGAGCATTTACTTAAATATTTGTATCTATAAAAAGATTGTTAAACATAAAAACGTCTTTAAAATAATTGTCGGACTTTGTCCATTTCATTATATATATATATATATATATATATATATATATATATATATATATATATATATATTCCTCTTTGAACCGATGGCTTAGGGGAAAATTTCTGACTGTTGACGAATCAATCGGGTTTTGATCCCGCCTTGAAGTAATGTGATGTCTAGCCACACTGATGATCTGCGAAACAGTCTGTCTGTAGATGACAATATATACGCACCCGAAAAACTTAAATTCTGTTGTGCACTCTTGGAAGATAAGTGCGAATTTGTAAACAATGACTAATACTATTAATATTACAAGCTTTTCCCTGAATTGGGCACTGTCAGTGATTGGCGTGTTTATTCACAGAATAAGTATGAAAAAATTCGCCTCCGGATGTCTAGCCACATTGATGAGCCGTGATACAGCGAAGCAATCGGTCTGTGGATGACAAGATATATACATACATACATACATACACACACAGATATATATATATATATATATATATATATACATTCAGTTGTATGGATATGATATTCTGACCCTGTGTTTCACGCTTTTTGACTAGTTTACAGTTTTGTCCCAGTCACACTCTTTATTTCATCTTAAAGTACGAGAGTCACTGTATATCAAGTCCAGTAAACCGTCTCTCTCTAAACAGCGTGATTGTTTGATGGGGCTTACCATCATTAGTCTTTCCTAACTTTTTTCCCCTTCTCTAATCCTCTCATCAATCATTCGCTAATTATATTTATTACTTTTGTATTTATTGAATTCCTACATTATGCTGCAACTATGCTGAGCAGACCTTAGTTACAGTTTCTGGGAAAGAGTTTGAACAAAGCCAGCACGCTCAAGCCATCGGCCACAATGGCTTGTGACTTCGTGCAAGCACAGCTGTCGACGGCCGCCAAGGGTTCCGTTTACCCAATTTCACTCACAATGCTTGGGTCAACCCGTGGTATGGTTTTCAGGCACTTTCCATGCCGCACACTGGGATCGAACCGCTCCATTCCGATAACAACAGGAAGTCTCCTTCCTGAGAAATCGACCATGGTGAGATTCGAACCCGGGTCACATGGCCAGAATGCGAACATTCTAATCACTCGGCCATTATAGTTATAGTATTTGACATTAAACTGTGATCCCTATTTTAAAACTGGTCTTATCATTGTCTGGTAGAAAAATTCTCTCTCTCTCTCTCTCTATTTATCTATCTATCTATGTGTGTGTGTGTGTGTGCGTGTGTGCGTGTGTTTCTATCTTTATCAACCAGTTCATGTTTAATTATCGGTATTTACTAAGTCTGTCCTAGTTTGTCACAAAGCCGGGTGTGATGCGTATTAAGTGAAGCCCAAATTGTCTTGCTAAACCTTGCTGCATGGTGACATCTTACTTATTATAAAACGCAGATTGTGTGTGTGTGTGTGTGTGTGTGTGTGCGTGTGTGTGTGTGTGTACGTTTATATATTAGATCGGATTTCCTACAGATTTCAACAAAACTTCACAGGACTACGTAAAATTACCTTGCGGTGGTTCTGACAGTGCCAAAAATTGGAATAACACAATTGTTTTTGCACGAAATCAATTTGAAAACACGATTAAGAGGCATCTCTGAATGAAAGGGGGACAACTCATATCGAGTTATACTTATTATAAAACCCAGGTTGTTTGTGTGTGTATGTGTGTGTCCGTGTTCGTTTATATATGGGATCGGATTTCCTACATTTTTCAATCGACTTCACTTTTTTTTGGCAGGTAGTGTTTCTTATTGTCTTGCACACTTTTTTCTTTATTTTTACATTCAGAATGCTTTAAAAATTCCTTTTACAAGACAATTGTTTATAATAAAATTCTATTCAATCGATAGACTCATAACGATTGAAAACAATGTTTTTGTTTGAGTTTGGGTTTGAGCAATTCGTAAAAAAAAAGAAAAACCAAAATAAAAAAAAAACAATTAAAAAACCTAATTAAGACATGCGTGTCCGTCAACCTGAAACAATAATCTTTGTCAATTTTATTTTTCAGTCTTTATGATGGTCGATACTTGATCTATCTCTTACTGTTACATCCCCGGACAACGCCGGGCTCTACTGCTAGTATATATATATATATATATTCTGTAATACACACTCTAATAAGGGCTATAGTATTAGCTAAATATAAAAGAAGAATAAATATAAGGGAAATAGAAGATAAAACAAGGATCTTATTTTCCCCTTTTGATAAGTGCTGAAGGAAGATTCATGGATACTATGTGAATATATTGTTCAACATTCTTGTCGAAGAGTTCAGTGTTCTTTCCGGATGTTAATTTTGTTTATTTTTTAAGCGAACGTGCCAGTTTCTCTCTTACTGTAAGCTTTTATTCCATTTGAATAGTTTCACTAGAATTTTATCGACAGCTTGTTTCTCTTTGGATATATTATTCGGCTATTCAATATGGCCGACCGAAGCAACGGAGCATGCGTAAAGGGAGATAATTTGATTATGGCCGGCGATTGGAAGAGTTTCGTTTCTCAAGCTCTTGTTTCTATCTGCTTCCCCCCCCCCAATCTCCCTTTTCTTTCTTTCTTTCTTTCTTTCTTTCTTTCTTTCTTTCTTTCTTTCTTTCTTGGTATATAATTTACACCCTCTTTTATGATAAGTGCTGGGATTTTTCGGTCGTGTTTGTCTTAAAAGGCACTCGCTTTGCCGTTATTAGTTAATTGAATCAGTGTGTGGCTTTGCGAATGAGAAATCAGATTTTAGAAAAAAAAATGATGTATTTAGTATACATGTAAATGTCTACATCCTGACACGTACACACACACACACACACACACACACACACACACACACACACACACATATACATATATATATATATATGATAAAAATACATTTTAAGGTATGCTATATTTATGGGTTAAAGTAGTTAATAACAGGGATAGAGCCTATGTAAGTATAAAGGTGGACATTGAAGTCAACACCCAATGAGATTCTGTTTTATGCTTAAACGCAATCTTCAGGCCACGTGGGATGTGTTTCGGCTTATTATTTATATGTGTTGGTCAGTGGTGGATTATAGGAAGCTTTCTTGTATTATTTTAAGTGTTATTGGTTGAGTGGTAACGGTCATATTTCAAATTATCCTAGAGGCCGTTGTATAGAAATAACTGTGAACTCGAAAAGTTAAACAAATAAGAATAAATAAGTAAAATAAAATAATCCAAATCATTAATTAAGTAAACCAATTAAGTAAATGATAATTAATGCATACAGGTAAACACAGGTAAACTTTAATAATAAAAATCAACAAATAATAATGCAATCAATAATAAATAATAAGTAAAATTAAGTTATCGAACAACGGTATAAAATAGTCACAAAAATGCATTCGAATGAGATGTTCGATATTTTCTATCTCTTTGCTTTTAATGAAGCTGCTGAAGTTATTTATGCCGTGCACAGAGACGACTCCATTACCGACATAATGGCACGGAAACTTCGAACTCACAGGCTCTGCACGTTCTAGCCGATCTGTCCAGTTTGATGGGAATCAATTGCAGTTTAAAGAAGAACCGTGCCTATAGAATTGGCTCGTCGTCTCTATGAGAAAGGTTCTGAAACACGGCCCATGGGTGCCACACGCATTGACCGAGAGAAACAAACCTCAGCGCTACTCCATTGCTGCCAGTTTAAACGCTCCACACCATAGATACAAAGAAAGTGCTTGGTTGGGAAGTTCTGCCACACGCAACGTATTCTCCTGGTTTAGCTACTAGATTTACGATCGATTTCTAACAATTTGTGGGGAGTTTCAATCAACAACGACATGGTGCTTAAAAGGTGTCTTGATGAATTTTTCAAGTGAAAACCTGATTTCTATCGTGAAGTCACTGGACAGTTAGTGGATCGTTGATAGGAGGTCGTAAATATTGAATGGGAATAAATTGTTGAATAATTCATCGAAGCTATTAATAAGTTTTAATAACATATAAAAACGAACGAATTTATGTAACAGCCTAATAGGTAAATATTTAAAAAAAAATCCACGTTACAACCAAAACCGTTTGCGGTACTTCACCTCTTTTTAATATATATATATATATATATATATATATATATATATATATATATATATATATATAAAGACATTTTTATGTTTAACGTTCTTTTTATAGATACAAGTATTTAAGTAAATGCTCTGTTTATAATAAACAGTACTAAATAACATTTACCGGCCTGAATGTCCGAGAAATTTTCATAGAAAATATTCGTTCTTTGACAGGATTCAACAGGATAAACAGAGCATTTACTTAAATACTTGTATCTATAAAAAGAACGTTAAACATAAAAATGTCTTTAATAAAATAAATTGTCGGACTTTGTCCATTTCTTAATATATGACGTCATTTGTTTACATTTGATACGCCAGAGCAGTTATGAATGTACGAGATTCATGGAAGATTGAAGTTTATAAGCAGTAAATTCGACTTTGTCTACCGAACGCTTCTTTGTGGCCGATCGGTAAGGCACGTCAGCGTAAATGACGGTTCCGTATAGGATGCAGGTTCGAATCCTGTCAAAGAACGAATATTTTCTATGAAAATTTCTCGGACATTCAGGCCGGTAAATGTTATTTAATACTGTTTATTATAAACAGAGCATTTACTTAAATACTTGTATCTATAAAAAGAACGTTAAACATAAAAATGTCTTTAATAAATAAATTGTCGAACTTTGTCCATTTCTTAATATATATATATATTGAACAATAAGATAATAAAAAATATTAAAATCTTCAGACACACTGGGTTGTAGATTAATATTCTTTCGTTTTTTTATTATTATTCCATTTAGATTCCTCGACTAGTTTCGACCGAAATGGCCATCATCGGGTGGAGAAATATTTCTGCTTGCTGGTAGCAGTAAACTACAGAAATGAATGTCTTTTTCTGGAGAAAATGAACTTTTGTCTGTAGTTTTCATTTGTCTTTTTATTTTTTTATTTTATTTTTTTATCTTTTTAACATGAATCTTTTAACATTCCTTGTGTTGGTCAAACAGTCTCTTTTAAGTTGTCATTTCAGATAAGAGCTGGATATATACACGTTATTCTGAATTCTCTGGTCAGTTTGACAGTTTTATTGGACCTGGTGAGGGGATGTGTCTCTGTTTAGTGTTTGTGTGTGTGTTATTTGGTTTTTAGGGAGTGAGTGAGTATGATATGTGTAAGCGTGTTTATTGCTGTGGGTGTGTGTTATCATTTGGCTCATTAGGGAGTGAGTGAGTATGATGTGTGTAAGTGTGTATATTAGTGTGGGTGTGTGTATAAGTGTGAGGCCTCCGTAAGCATGTCTGTCTTGTGTGGATGAGAAATGTGGGTACGTTTTGATTTGTTGACTTATATATTGTTACTATCTATATATTGTTAAATTTATGATTTAGCCCGGCTGGGTATTTTGTTTTTAGGCGTTGTATCCACTTATTTTCATGGGACTCTAAAATCTTTCCAATGTTATCTGCTCTGAACTTTTCTATTCTCTCAATTATAGTGAATTTGGCATGGGTTTTGAAATAATGTTTTTCCAGGCAGAAATGTTGTTCTACAGGTAATAATTTTTCATGGGAAGTCGACTTAATTCGCTTACGATAATTATTAATTCTGTAGTGAAAGGGCCATTCAGATTATATATATATATATATATATATATATATATATTATTTTTTTTTTATTTTTAAGCATTACGCCCCGAGCAAGGCCTGAAGCCACTAGGATGCAGGGGGTTGCGGAAGATTTGGAGCAAGATCAGATAGGAGTGATAGAAGAAAGGATGCGGAGAGGGATAGTGGATAGATCAAGGTAACTGGAGATGTCGACTGACATTACATTTGAATAGTTGGAGATTGTAGCTCTCAGGGAAACAGTAATTGGGAAGGGTGTTCCATAGGCGAGAGGTGCGAGGGATGAAGCTATTGGAGTAGAAGAGACGGCTACATTTAAAAGTTTCTACAGTGTAAGGGTGGGAGCGGGATGCCGGCCTCGTAGGGCGCTTGAATTCATGGAGTCTGGGAACCAGTGAAAGCAGCTCATCGGAGCAACTACCATGAAAGTATTTGTAGAAAAGACAGAGAGAGGCGACGGCGCGTCTCTGAGAGAGTGACTGCAGACGAGACGCCAGATCAGGGCCAAATATATATCGATGGATCGATAGATAAATATGAACAGCGTGAGTCAAATAGATATGAACAGATTGCCTTAGCTAGATAGATAGATAGATCGATGGATAAATATGAACACACCGAGTCAGATAGATTGGTAGATATGAACAGATGGCATAATATAAATGGATATATAGATAGATCTATAGATAAATATGAACAGAGCTAGTCAGATGTGTTAGATATGAATAGAGGGAATCAAATAGATAGATAGATCGATAGAAAATATGAACTGTCGTATAGATAGATAGATAGATAGATAGATAAATATGAGCAAAGTCAGATAGATAGAAAGATATACAAAGAATGAGATGAATATGAACAGAATGAGTTAGATAAATAGATAGTATCTGTCTATATTTCTGAGATGAAGTATTATGTACATTATTTACATTATACGGACTGAAAGTTCTCCTCTGCCTTAACCGGGTATTGAACTCACACTCTTTGGGTCCTGTCACTGGATCTAACCAACGCCTTTATCTATTGTGCCATATGTCCTTGACACATTAATTAACAGGAGATAACTGAAAACTGACACCCATTAAACATGGCACGTGGAACTAGAACAGTCTACCTCAGTGAGAGAAATAAAGGGTTAAGTTCAACATTCCAACCACCTGAAGAAGGCCGGAGCGTATAACGGCTGAAAGGTTGTAATAAATTTGGTGACAAATATGAGGACAATAGTCTGAATAATGGAAATAATATACATAGATAGATATGAATCAAAGAAATCAGTTAAATATATAGATCAAGTCATCACTTTAACACCTCAACAATCCTTCATCAAGCCGCTATCAACAAACACTATTGTTTCATACTGTCAGCCTTGTGCCTTTCCTATCTTTTCTTTATCCTTATTTGGCCCCCTCTTAAAAGGTACTTTTTTTAAAACAAATGGGAAAAAGGAAGTGACGTTCCACTTGCGGTCTGCTTACAAACAGAAGTGTTCATAACCATTTTGGTTTTCACCAGTCGAGGTGCAACTAAATGAACCGAAACGAAGTTTCATCTTTCTCGTGAGTAAATTGTTTTTGTCTACATGAAAAAATTATTATTATCATTATTATTATTATTATCATTATATATATATATATATATATATATATATATATATATATATATATATATATATATATATATATATATATATATATATATATATATATATATATATTTATACACGTTTCATTAAATAATATAGACAAGTGTTGTCTATTTATTTTATGTAAAATTTGTTCGTAACATCTGATACGATTTGATAACATTATCATTAAACGAAGAAAGAAATTCACAATATTGATCCATATTTTTTAATATAATCTAAGCTTTCGGCTTACTTAAGCCATTACCAAAGATGTAAATCACAAACATAATAAACATTATACGGACACGACAGTGATGATA